GCTTACCACGTCCACAGTTTCCACCCGGCAGTACAACGGGTAAAGGAGATTATCGACAGTGGCGAATTAGGCAAAATTAAATACGTGAATGCAGAGTTTGCGGTGCCCAATATACCCGATGGGATTATCTTCTTAAAGGATGATGTGCGGTACGACTACAATCTCGGTGGCGGAGCCATGATGGACATGGGGGGTGAGTGTGCGTGTGCGCACTCGTATGGCCTGCGCTAACAGCGTATGATGGTATTCACAGTGTACACACTGTCGGCTATTCGCTACTTTACATCCAGCGAGCCCGTGAAGGTCACTGAGGCTGCTGCGACGGGCTACAAGTTGGATCCTAAACGGGTCGACCGCGCCATGCATGCACGGTATCTGTTGCCGCAGTCAATTGACGCAGAGACGTTTGTGGATTTTTCTATGCCTGGCTGGGGACCGTTTCAGCTGCTGCCGCAGGCATTTAAACTAACGGTGTACTTCGAGCTGGAAGGTGGACATCTTGAGCTGTATAACTTCCCCATACCGCATGTCTACCATTCCATAAAGATCAAGCCACGAGGAAGAAAGGTGCGTGTCGAGAAGGCTTACGTCTTCGAGGATGGCCGCGGTGAAGATTGGTGGACATCGTCAGTGCATGCCCGCGCGTACTGTTCGTTCTTGGCTGACTTTGGTTATATTTTGTTTATTTATTTCACGTACAGGTATCGGTATCAGCTGGAGGCATTTGTGGAGAAGGTGCGTGGACGTCAGCCGCAGTGGTGGCCCGCAGACGATGAAGCGGTGAGACAGCTGCAGTGGGTTGAGAATGTCTATACTGCAGCTGAGATGCCTGTCCGTCCCACGTCTCGCGCGTTCTGTCCACCGCCAGACGATGAAGTGTAATAGCATGTATTGACCGCGTGCTCGTTTTGCGTGCGTGTACTAGTTAGTCTACAGATCTACATACATGTGCACTTCATCTTCATGGGTTTACTTGTGGGATGAGAACCGGACCCGGGCGAAGTCTAGGCTGAAGACACCGGGTGTTTTTCCCAGCGGGCATACCATTTCACCACTGGGCTGCTTTGGATGGTTGGCTTCCTTCGCACATGTCCCATATGCGCTCTGTTCCCATGGTAAGTGTTCTTTTCCGGACGGACTTTGGCTGGGGGCTAGAACCATCAAGGATTTTGATTCGCCAAACAGCAGCTCTTGACTCCTTGTGATAGTGTTTGTCTGCAGCTTGAATGCGCTTTCTGGCCGTCTTCTCTTCGGTAATCTCGGTTAACACTTACAAAAAACTTCGGACCTGTTACATGGA